CGGTTCACAAACCCAGTCCACATGTGTTCTGGATGCGTTCCTGCATGCGTGTTTTTGAAGGGTTTTGGTGCTTTTTTTTTACGTATTCCAGTGCATTTTATATGAATTTCAATTCATTATTTCCCCTTTTTCTTCAATTCAAATAGGGACATGTGCTCTCCAGTGCGTTTTTGATGCGTTTTACTGCATTCCAGTACATTTCTGTGCAGAAAAAATGCAGCACGTTCTACTTTTTTTTTTTTTTTTCTGCAACTGGAATGCACTGGAACTGCAAGCACGGATGTGAACTATGACATTGACAACCATATTTATTATTATTTATTTCAGGTACTTATATAGCGCCGTCAATTTGCACAGCTCTTTACATATATATTGTACATTCACATCAGCCCCTAACCCTCAAGGGGCGTACAATCTAAGGTCCCTAACTCACATTCATATACAAGGGCCAATTTAGACAGGATCCAATTAACCTACCAGCATGTCTTTGGAGTGTGGGAGGAAACCAGAGTAACCCATGCAGGCACAGGGGAGAACATGCAAACTCCAGGCAGGAGGTGCCATTGTTGGGATTCGAACCAACAACCCTAGTACTGCCAGGCGGAAGTGCTAACCATTTAGCCACTGTGCTTGCCCACCATATAACCTACTTTCTGTGCATTTTGGATGCAGAAAAAAATGCAACTGAAACGCATGTAGTGTGAACTGGCCCTTAAACCTGTCATAGCTGGATCAAAATTCAACCTGTTCTGCAGGAACCAGCCAAATTTCCATCCATCTACGAGCAGGTTACTGAAGTCGATCCATCAACTAACGTCTGTACAACCAGCTTGACAGGTTTCTTTTGTTTGAGAACTGTCAGCAGCTATAGCCACCAGCAGTGATCATTGAATTCTGCCGGAGGGGAAAGCTCCCTACTGACAGAACACAATAGCGCTGCGGGAGGGATTCTTCGATCTACACTGTGTTCATGGGGGAACTGAGCACTTTTCTTTCCTTCAACCCACGAGGGAAGGAAAATTGCATAATGTATGACCTGTATAGGTTTAAAGAAATACAAAGGAGGTTTGCAACCAGATGTACCTTGACAGGCGACAAAGAAGAGACTGTCTTTATACGAGGGAGATGTTACAGAAAAGTTGCCCCATTCTATGCCACTATATTTAAGGACGGTAACCATTTTACAGCATGTGAGACCCTATGCTCCTACGATGGGGGTACTTTCATTAGAAACATCTCAGCACTGTGTGTGTGTTCCTGATGTCAGCAATCCACATGAGCTTTTCATTCCAGAATCTGGGGTTACTTTTGGTCAGGGTGGATAAAAATCAATGATTTAAAAAAATAAAAAAATAAAAAATAAAAAAAAAATCGGATTTTGTTTTATTTAAATCTGATTTTTTTAAATAAAATTCTTTTTGAGGAAAATATATTACCATCCAAAGGTTATTCCATCATGAAATAAAAATTAGTTTTTTAATTATGTAGAATAAGGCTGTATATGTTTAATTTTTTTGGTAAATAAATTCCATGAATCCATTCACAATGTCATGCTCTTCCAGAGGTTTTTGTAAGATTATGTGGCAGTTTCTCTGCCTACAAGATATCACAGATGCTTGGTTTACTTTTGCAGTTCTCAAAACTGAATTTGACTCAGCGGAGATCACATGCCTCTTCTTCACAGCAAAAATATGTTATAACATGAACAGAGTTAAGAAAAAGACCTTCATCCTAACTTCTACAAACCTATGAATACAGAATCAACCCCTTCACTGCTAAGTTTCAAGAAGTTCAGTGAATAGAATAGAAAAAATTATTTTTCTGATTATTTGGAGTGGAATAGATCTGCACAAGAAGAAAGTGAAGCTAAGTGTGAGGAGGAAGGGGCTGACAGTCTAAGTTTCTTAAAATATATATATTTTGTTTAGCCAAATTCGTTAACAAACATGGATGTTTAAGCAAATCACATATGCTGGAATGTTATTGTTTCAGTTGAATAAATCTATTTAAATTGTTATTATTAAGGTAATGATTATTTTTCTCCTTCCTAAGTAGAACAGAAAAGTTGTCCAAATATGAATGATTAACCTATTAAACTGGGGATAAAAAAACTAATCTGAAAAGTTATTCTAAAAATCTTCATCTACTTGCATATTAAAGTTATACCAGAAAGAATTAGTCTATGTAGAAAACTAGGATTGAAATCAAGCCTTACTGACTAGTGATTGAAATCGTGATTTAAATCAGTTTGATTTAAATCAAATCCACCCTGCTTTTGGCCTTGGCTTCGTGCAGCGTGGTTCCGCAGTCCTTCGCTATGCTTTCAAGGTGTGCCTAACTCAATGTTTCTAATAATGCTTTTATTCTTTTATTGCACCATTACATCTTTTTTTTATGGTGATATCCCTGTGCCCTTTGTCCCACATGTCTCCTTTTAAAGAGATGACAATGAAAAACCTTCCTTCCCTGAGCTCAGAGTGAAGCTGCTAACAAGACGGCTCTTTTCCACTTGGTAATGAGCCTCTCAGTTCTAAGAGACGATTGTATGACGGATCAGTTGTGGTAAATCCTGTAAATGTGTAATAATGGTCAGGAATACTCATCCAGTACAGAACATGAAATATTAAAGCAGAGAGGCCACACTGGCTGGCAGGCATTTGTCCCGCTGTCTTCTATGTTGTGATCTGCTCATTTTTCAGGTTTCTTGCCTTACAACATATAACTAAAAACCACAAATACCAAAAAAGATTTTTTTGAAATCCTAAGTTTTTTGTTCGCTTTAGCACTACTCGACCCTTGCTGCGAAAGCCTGCTAGCAGTTTGCCAAAATGATAAGTTCACCTTTTTAGAAAAATAATAATAAATTAACATCTTTTTGCAGGTTAAAAAAAAAATTAAAAAAAAAGTGCATTTATTTTTTTATTTATTTTACTTGGAGCCTGTAAAGCATTGCGCCCACAATCAGAAGATCATGGGTGCCATGCAGAATTCCTGCAGACTTGTCCGTGTATCTGTGTGCTTGTACCTCATACAGGCAGACAATTACACACCGACCGGAAGAGAAAATGAACTACCAGACCACTTAACAGCGCCATGGAAATTCACTGAGAACTAAAAGACAAAAGCCGCAAAGGATGTCTGTACTTGTAGTTTCCCATTCACAGAACTCTGTGAATGAAGGAAGGACACGGCCAGAGAGGTGGAGCCCCACACGGCAGCGTTGTTTTTTTTTTTTTCTAAATAGTGACAGCAAGCAGAGAGTGAAGATCCCCCGCTTGCTGTCACTAGAGCTCTTGTAGCGGGCAGCGGCTGCAGGAGTGGGAATATGTTAGAATTATACCAGTCCCCTGCACTCAAGAGTGGCATACAATGATGGAACTGTAAGGGCTCGTTCACACTTGGCTGTTTTGCCAACGCTTGCCAAACGCCCCTATAGCGTTTGGCAAGCGTTGGTCCGGCGTTCGCGGAGCATTTTTTAACGCTCGGCAAACGCTCCGCAAACGCCCCATGCGCGGTTTAGCGGTGGTTGTTAGGCATTTGCCGAGCGTTAATAACGCCCCACAAATGCCTATAATTCATTTGAGTGGTGTTACCGCTCCGCAAACGCCCCGCAACCGCGTTGCAACCGCACCGCAAACGCCGGCTGGGCGTTTGCGGAGTGGCACCGACGACGAGAATAGGAGGCTTCAACGCCTCCTGACTTGCCCAGAGGCGTCCGTTTTGCCACGCCGCACACACTCCCGTTAGAACAGCACCATGTGCTGTAATGTGCAGAATTGGCAGAGGCGTTTGGAAAGCGGTAAAAACGCTTCCCAAACGCCTCTATGCCGCCTGCACACAGCGCTAGTGTGAACGTAGCCTCACAGATCCTTTGTGCATCCAATACCAGCACTGGCCTTGTTGCCCTCTGGGGGGTTGGGGGAAACTCGCAGGAACAAAGGAAAAAAGTGGGCGCACCAGCCTTGTGCATTGCCTAAGGTGACAGCTTTATTAACCCAAAGTAAATTACATTCACAAACATCGTGGTAACAAAAGCATGTCAGGTAGAAAGCGATCAGTACACAGGATCAGCTCCCAAACTCATGAGGAACCTCTTATTGCTGACACGTTTCGAGGAGCGGTCTCCTCTTCCTCAGAGCCGGTGATTGGCTGATCCTGTGTACTGGTCGCTTTGTATCTGACATGTTTTTGTTACCACGTTTGTGAGTATAATATACATTGGTTTAATATAGCTATCACCCCAGGTAATTCACAAGGCTGGTGCGCCCCCTTTATTCCTTTGATGAAAAATGGTCAGCAAAATTAATTTATGTATTAACACAGTCAGCTGTTCTCTAACTGAGAGGTCAGTATTTTTGAGATCCTTTCCCGTTGAGAAAGTAACAATGAATTTGCGAAAGAAATAGGTAAGCATTCAGGTCAAAACTCAGCGTAATTTTAAGGTAAGTTTTACAGAGTGTGCTAGTATGCGATGCATGCTACCACATTATGACATTACCTTGCAGGGGACTTTTTATTTTTGTCTGTAGTTTACTACTGCTTTAAAAAGTGTTACTAAACCCACAACAGTGAAATCAGTCTGCAGTAAAGCATGCTGGTTATACTCACTTTGAAACCTAAGGGGTTATTCCTCAGCATTTTTTAAAAAAAAAAGCTGATTGATCCTGTCTTCTCTGATCCTGCCCTTCTACTGTCCCCAATCCATCTGTTGATAGTACAGAGCTCTAGACGCCACTCTGCGCATGCTTAGTTTACGGTGTATTGCTAGATAGGTTTTTTTTATTCTTTTGGGAGCGTGCATGTGATCAGCACAGGGCCAATCAGCACTGTCCAGACAGAGGGTCAGGGGTCATGTACCCTCATAGGACAATCAGAGCAGAATGAAAACTCCTCCTATAACCTTTAACCAGTGCTCAGCTGGACACTGATAGTCACAAGACTGCTCTAACTGCTGATGAGAAAAGGTATTTAGCAGTTTATATTTACTACAACAATGGCATTTCCATGTTGTGTGTACTATGGGAGACCAGATACAGTGAATGCAGGGTCCGGGGAGACCAGATAATTTGGTGTGTATTGCTAGAGAGGTTTTTTCGTGGGAGAGTGCATGTGATCAGGCACAGGGCAATCAGCACTGTCCAGACAGAGGTCATGGGCTCTGCATCCTCCTAGAGAAAAATGAAAACTCCTCCTACAAGCTTTAACCAGTGCTCTGCTGGACACTGATAGAAGTCACAAGATTGTTCTATACTGTTGATGAGAAAAGGTATTTAGCAGTTTATATTTACTAAAATGATTGAATTTCCATGTTGTGTGTACTATGGGTGACCAGATATAGTGAATGCAGGGTCCTGGGAGACCGGATACAGTGAATGCGGGGTCTGGGGAGACCGGATACAGTGAATGCAGGGTCCGGGGAGACCGGATACAGTGAATGCAGGGTCCGGGGAGACCGGATACAGTGAATGCAGGGTCCGGGGAGACCGGATACAGTGAATGCAGGGTCCGGGGAGACCGGATACAGTGAATGCAGGGTTCGGGGGAGACCGGATGCAGTGAATGCAGGGTCCGGGGAGACCGGATACAGTGAATGCAGGGTCCGGGGAGACCAGATACAGTGAATGCAGGGTCCGGGGAGACCAGATATAGTGAATGCAGGGTCCGGGGAGACCAGATATAGTGAATGCAGGGTCCGGGGAGACCAGATATAGTGAATGCAGGGTCCAGGGAGACCAGATATAGTGAATGCGGGGTCCGGGGAGACCAGATACAGTGCATGCAGGGTCCGGGGAGACCAGATATAGTGAATGCAGGGTCCGGGGAGACCGGATATAGTGAATCTCGATCCATGGTATGCATACCATGTTTATTTTAGAAAAAAAAATAAACCTTTTACAGTCACTTGAATAGACTGTGATGAAGGGTTTTTGTTTGTGTCTGACAGATTTTGCATTTCCACACAAGTCTTTAGGCATGCAAAAGCAGCTTAAATCATGTCAACAGCAGGTCAAATGCACCTCTCAAACTTTAAATGGTCTCAGTGTCTTAAAAGGTAATTTGTTTTTTGGCAAATAACAAACATGCTATACTTACCTACTGTGTGCAGTGGTTTTGCATCGAGCAGCCTGGATCCTCCTCTCCTCAGGTCTCCCACAGGCTCTCCTGGCCCCTCCCTCCTTTCAGGTTCTCCAACAACAAGCAGCTTGCTAGAGGGACACCCGCTACTCTGTGTGTCCATTCAAACATGGAGCCGTAACTTGGCCCCGCCCCCTATCTCCCCTCAATGGCTGAATGTCTGTGATTGACAGCAGAGGGAGCCAATGGTTTCTGCTTGCTGTCTAAGCCTATGAGGAGGCAGAGACTTGGGACAGCCGAGGATGTTGTGCACGTCGCTGGATCGCAATGAGGCTTAGGTACGTATTGAGGGGGTTGGGAAAGCTGCTGAACACAGGTTTTTACCTTCATGAATAGAATGTATGAAGGTATAAGACCTTGAGCCTTTACCACCACTAGAAAAACACAAAGCAGCTGGAGGCCCTAAATCATCAAACATTACAGTGATATTAAACCCTAGGCTTTTTAGCCACTTTCAGAAGCCGATTTAATTACTGGGTATGCAGCTTATTTATCCTTTAATCCTTGCCTAGGTTCCAGTTTAAGCTGGTGCTGTGATCTCTGCCCCAGGTTATCTATTTCAGGGTGGCTCCTTTCTCTTGCAGTGTCCTATGGAACCACCCTTGCATGCAGGGACTAAAGCTTTCTCTATCTACACTGTATGCACCAATAGAAACAGACAGTCCCATAGCCTAGGATGACAAGGCACTACCCTGTTCCTCACTCCCCCAAAAGCTAATAAACTGGCTGAAAACTGCACTGCACACCGTTAACCCTTACCGTGAGGACTGGAAGTTCTGGGAAGCAGCACCTAGACAGTAGGAGCCAGCAGAATTGAAAGTTGTAAACTGCAAGCGATGGGGTAAGAATAAAGAAAGTTTATTTTATTTTGCTCAGTGTGTTAGGCTAATAATGCTTCGGGTTTAATACTTTAACAAGTTATAACTTTGTTATAAAACAGAAACCTTAAAGTGTAATTTTCGTTTAGCTCTGGTTCACATCTGTGCAGTCATGCGGGCTGCGATTTGCACGGCATGAGAGCCCATTCATTTGAATGGACTCCCGTGCCCCGGGACAAGCAGGGAAGAAGTCTCTGCACTACTTTGGAAATCGCAGCCCGCACGGAAACTGAGACTACCAGTACGGTTTGCGATATCCAGTGCGGACGGCATGGCATTAGAGTTAATGGCACCTGTCCGCGGGTCCCACATTCCTCTGTGTGGGTGGTGCGGCTCCAGGTATTTGTGCAGGTCCCGCATTCCTCTGTATGGGTGGTGCGGCTGCAGGTATTTTTGCAGGTCCTCTATTCCTCTGTGAGGGTGGTGTGGCTGCAGGTATTTGTGCGGGTCCCGCATTCCTCTGTGTGGGTGGTGCGGCTGCAGGTATTTTTGCAGGTCCTCTATTCCTCTGTGAGGGTGGTGTGGCTGCAGGTATTTGTGCGGGTCCCGCATTCCTCTGTGTGGGTGGTGCGGCTGCAGGTATTTTTGCAGGTCCTCTATTCCTCTGTGAGGGTGGTGTGGCTGCAGGTATTTTGTGCGGGTCCCGCATTCCTCTGTGTGGGTGGTGCGGCTGCAGGTATTTGTGCGGGTCCCGCATTCCTCTGTATGGGAGGTGCGGCTGCAGGTATTTGTAAGGGTCCCGCATTCCTCTATGTGGGTGGTGCGGCTGCAGGTATTTTTGCAAGTCCTCTATTCCTCTGGGAGGGTGGTGCGGCTGCAGGTATTTGTGCGGGTCCCGCATTCCTCTGTGGGTGGTGCGGCTGCAGGTATTTGTGCGGGTCCCGCATTCCTCTGTGTGGGTGGTGCGGCTGCAGGTATTTGTGCGGGTCCCACATTCCTCTGTGTGGGTGGTGCGGCTGCAGGTATTTGTGCGGGTCCCGCATTCCTCTGTGTGGGTGGTGCGGCACCGGGTATTTGTACGGGTCCCGCAGCCGCACCACCCGCACAGATGTGAACCGAATGTTAAAGCTGTTTTTAAGCTGTCACATCCAACCACCACATGCACAAGGCTAGGAGTGTCACTGAGTTTCTATGAACCACCATAAAAGTGACAATGAAACAAACACCATGCCTGAATAAACTGATGGCAACAAAGTAACTCAATAGCCTACCAATGACAAGAATGAATAAACATTCCAGAAACAGCTCTATTATTCTTCAGAAAAAAATGTCTACAATAAACCCTATCAGTCTTACAATGAAAACTAAACGGGGAATTTCCAACAGAATAAACACACGCAAAATGCATATGCTCAGACCTTGACATTTTTTGGGCTGCAAGATGGAGGAACCTGACAACCTGAAATCTACAGAGGCTTTGTTATGATAAAAAACAAATCAATGTATTGTGCCTAATGAAATGTACAGGACCTGATCATTTGTATACTAGGAAACCATGCAATGTGTAGGAACATACCTGGGTTCTTTTTATAAAATGTCCTTCAGACTAGGTTCACACTATATGCAGGTATGGGACTGCGTGTAATTGCACGCCTTCCCGCACTGCTCTTAGAGGTCCGGTGGTGCCATTCATTCATAGTGGCACCCCACGCACTTTAAAATGCAGTGCAGTTTCCCTGCTGTGAGCTGCATAGAATGTCGTTTCCCTGCAGCTATAAATTTGAAAAAAAGGCGCATAAACTTTGTCCCCTGTATTTTCAGGCGCAAGAACTTTGTCCCCTGTATTTTCAGGCGCAGGAGCTTTTTCCCCTGTATTTCAGGCGCAGGAGCTTTGTCCCCTGTATTTTCAGGCGCAGGAACTTTGTTCCCTGTATTTTCAGGCGCAGGAACTTTGTCCCCTGTATTTTCAGGCGCAGGAACTTTGTCCCCTGTATTTTCAGGCGCAGGAACTTTGTCCCCTGTATTTTCAGGCGCAGGAACTTTGTCCCCTGTATTTTCAGGCGCAGGAACTTTGTCCCCTGTATTTTCAGGCGCAGGAACTTTGTCCCCTGTATTTTCAGGCGCAGGAACTTTGTCCCCTGTATTTTCAGGCGCAGGAACTTTGTCCCCTGTATTTTCAGGCGCAGGAACTTTGTCCCCTGTATTTTCAGGCGCAGGAACTTTGTCCCCTGTATTTTCAGGCGCAGGAACTTTGTCCCCTGTATTTTCAGGCGCAGGAACTTTGTCCCCTGTATTTTCAGGCGCAGGAACTTTGTCCCCTGTATTTTCAGGCGCAGGAACTTTGTCCCCTGTATTTTCAGGCGCAGGAACTTTGTCCCCTGTATTTTCAGGCGCAGGAACTTTTCCCCTGTATCTTTAGGTGCAGGAACTTTTTCCCTGTATTTTCAATAGCTACAGCAGCCCATTCAAATGTGGCCGCCAAATAACCAGCAGACCATGAACCTAGCCTAAACCATTAGAGCTTTTCTATTAATACTTAAAAGGGGGTAGGGGGAGGTAGGGGGTTATCTCAGCCATATAATTATGAGGTTCTTACAACTCGTCTCTCTAAATTGCATTTGGAAATGGATATATGAAGTCCTGGGGAGAAGATACTGAGAGGCCCCAGTGTCTCAGTGGTGTGTATGAAGGAAAGAACCCTCACCACACCTTTGGAACTTCTGCAAACAAGTTTGCATGTTTCTGCATTTTGCAATCAAGATGAAACAACGTCTTCTGAAAAACTACTTTATTTAATAAGACTTTTTCCATATAATGCATTGTGAAAAAGTTGCAGTCTTCATGGGCCGCTGTTCAGGTTAAGTGACCAACCAGCACCTTCAACTCCTTTCCTTCTCTCCTCCTTTCATGGTGGCCCCCAAATCAACCCTTTCACTCCTCAGTATGGGACCAGCATAAACAGAGACACTTCCATAGTGTATTATTGTTACACCAAAGGTGCTTTTTATATATACATATATACATATACACACACACTGGGATTTTTTTTCTTTTTAATAGTAATGGCGGCGAATGGCGACTTATCGCGGGACTGTGTTGGCCATTCTGACACTGGGGGGAACTGACTTGGTGTCACTGACATCCCCAGTGACACCAATACAGTGATCAATACTAATAAAACACTAACACTGTACTAATGGCATTTGGCAGGAAGGGGTTAACATGTGGGCCGATCAAAGGGTTAACTGTGTGCTGTGTGTGTGTTTTACTATGTGTGCTGTGTTTGTGCTCCACTGTAAGCACACTGCTATGCAGAACCATACAAAGCAGTGTGCAAGAGCTGACAGGGGAGAGAACTGTTTTGTTTACAAACAGTGCTCTCTCCAATCGGAAATGATCGGCAATCACCGGGTGCTGGCAAGTAATCACCGGCCGGGACCCGGTGACTGACAGCCACGGTCGAGAATGGCGGCGCGTGTAGGCGCCCCCTATTCGGAAATGCAACATCACGAATATATGTGATTTTGTGCACTTTTGCCGCCCTGTAGCAGTACTTCTGCTATAGGGCGGACGGGAAGCGGTTAAAGTAATATACTCATTAAAACAGAAAACATTAGCCCCTTCCTTTCAGGTACAAGGTGTCTCCTGCAAATGCATTCACTTCCACTTGACACGTTTCTTCATCAAGACCCATCCTGAGGAAGTCTTGATGATGAAATGGAAATCTGGTGAGCCTTTTATTCACTTACTGGGAACGGAGAATGATGGTGGAAGAATTCAGTGTTTATTGTATAGGTAGTGTGACAACACAAATTTTTGGGACTTAATTCACTATTTTTTTTAATATATTGTAAATCAAGCTTTGTGGTTTCACGAATTAGGTTTGATATTATACAGTAACATGCATTTTTACTGTGTTAGAGCACTTGTGGGATATATTATTTTTTATTTCTGATATAGTATTGGTTCACTTATAATTACAAGAAAAGAAAAATAAGGAAGGCAAAAGGATAAAAATTATTTTATTATTGATTATTCATAAGTATGTAGATTCCCTTTATTAATTCTATAGGTGCCTATGTTGCAATTTTTAAAATGAGGGTAAAGTTCCTCTTTAAAAGGATTAATCCTGACATACTGCCAATTTTTTTTTTCTTCTAATACACAGGATCTTGCCTTGGAATATTTATAGGTTCCTGTAATAATGTGACAACATCTAGAGCCTTAGTGTGCATATACATGGAGAAACATGGGCAAACCTCTGAAGTGATGAATTTAAAGGGATAACCAACAGTAATGAGGTCTGTTGAACCCCAAGTTATGTCTAATGGAACGCAATGATGCCCTTATGTCTGCAAAATTCTCATGTAATGACATTTTATGCCCAATTCATGCAAAACTCCACGTAATCCCAAGGGGTTCACATACTTTTTCTTGCAACTGTATATTGTAAAGCGCTGAGCAAACTGTTGGCGCTATATAAATCCTGTATAATAATAATAATAATCCCTAACTCACATTCATACATACACATACTAGGGCCAATTTAGACAGGATCCAGTTACCATATCAGCATGTCTTTGAAGTGTGGGAGGAAACCGGAGTACCCGAAGGAAACCCATGCAGGCACAGGGAGAACATGTAAAACTCCAAGCAGGAAGTGCCATGGTTGGGATTCAAACTGACGACCCTAATGCTACTAGGTGGAAATGCTAACCACGTAGCCACGCTGTACTTAATAAAAACGTTTATAAAAATACTCACAAAGACTGTGAAAACACAACATGGATATGGGTGGAGATGTATACCACCTTATTGTGCTTTGAGACTATTTAAAGGTAAGCAAGTTAACTCTGCAGAAAGGGGTAAATCCCTTGAAACACGTGAGATCTTGCTTTTGTGCAGCGTATTGCTGTATTGGTCTTCCTTTTCGGTATCAAGGCCCTTAAAGCAGAGTTTCACCCAAAAGGGGAAGTTCCGCTTTAAAGATTGGTTCCCCGCTCCCTATTAAGGATTGGCACCTTTGGGGAGCGGGGGGACGGGTACCCGAACTTGACAGGTACCTGCTCCCACTTCCACTGTGATTGCCTACGGAAGTTGTCCTCCCCCCTCCCTCCCCGAAGTCTTGTGAGACATGTGACAGGTCCCAGAAGACTACGGGGCCATTCAGGAAGCGCAGTGCTACTTGCTCATGCACAGCGGGCACCCGGCTGTGAACCCGGAAGCTGTCAAAGCCGAGTGCGCTCACTGAAGATGCCAGCGCCTGGAAAACAGGACGGCCGGTGAAACAGGCTGCGGCGGGGGCAACGTGGGATCGTGGGACAGGTGAGTGGCTGTTTTTTTTAAAAGTCAGCAGCTACAGTTTTTTTACAGAGTGAGTGGAACTCCGCTTTAAGGAGATCGATCCTGTCATAGAATTTACTACATGTTCGTGTTTTTGCAGTTTTTAGCCACTTTTATTAATAAATGGTGTCTGTGGTAATACATCAGGCCAGTTTGCCCCTCTTGTTGCTTTTGTCTCTGTTAGCTCTTATATAAAAGTGCCCAATGATAAAAGGTTTGCTGTATAACACTCTGTAACCTAGCTGGAATACCAAACACAACCAAAACAGAGAGGAGTAAAGGTTACCTGAAAGCAGCGACCAGAGGAGCGTAGATGGAGTCGCCATCATACACGTAAAGATGATCCCAGCTGCACTCCGTAGCAAAGTGGTTGAAGCGGAGGCGGAGAACGGTGTTGGGTCTGGAGAAAGAAAACAAAAGCTTACAATGAGTAATTCAAGCGTCACTAAAATGACAGATATTACTGCAATGTACTTCTGCAGATAATCGTCTATTTTACACAACCTAGCTGGAATCTATAAACACGTGACCGACATTTTCATCTGAAGAGATGAAACCAACTCTCAGGAAAGACAGCAGTCTTAATGGTTCAGGTCTAAAGCTGGTCATACATGGCTCATGTTTTGCTGAAAAGAACCAAACCGATTTCTCCATCCACTCAAAGGTGGATGGGCAATTCTTCCTCGCTGTGTCATTGTATTCTGACAGCGGAGGAGGAGTCAGCTGGATGACTCCGCTGTCAGAATACACGGATCAGTTCTGCAGCCTACTGGCTGCAGCACTGATCGAACTAAAGCTTTCCAGCAAGCCTGTTCATAAGTTGATCAGTAGATTTTGACTGCTCTCGCTCAGGACCAGTCTTAGATGGATTGAAATGTGCCAGGTCTCTAGTAAACCGGGCCACATTTCAATCCATCTATGACCAGCTTCAGGAAAATCGTGTGAATATTTAAGCAAAGGCGTCCCTTAGATTGAAGAAACCAGAAACATTTGATTAGCATTTACATATAAAATGCAGCGCTGTAAAATGATCAAATCATGCAAATCAACACAATAATAGTCCTGAAAAGGTGCTCACTAATTCCCAGTGTCAATGGAAAGAATGCAAACTAACCAGAAGTGCATTTAAAGTACTAATTTAAGTATTTGATTAGCATTACATGACACAATCATGTCTTGTGTCAAAGAAAACCAATCACAATGGATGCAAGAATCTAAATCAAACCATTCACAAGTGACGATTGCCCAGATCCCTGAACCGAATTCTTCACACATCAGAGCGGTCTGCATGCAGTACTAGGGCAAAGCTAAAACGTGAGAACAGCAGACACTCTCTCATTAGCAGAGTTCATTTTTATACAACTAAACAGCCATCACTGGTACAAAAACTGAGCTCTTCAAAGAACCTCTATATACTGTCAGCTTCCAGGGTGCTCAGCAGTACCTAACTCCAAGAAATGGAATTATGAAATTAGTGACTTCTGTATCTTAGGCTGCCCACAAAATATATTTAGTACAATTCAGAAATGCGCCCATATTTCCCAATTTTGTATGAAAAGATCTGACAGAAATTCAGTGTGTTGAAAACATGGTGCCATTTCTACACTGAAATCCGAATTCGCTTTGTCAGTCCTGCCTGCTGGACTACAGCATTTTGCCTATCCTCACAGCTCCCTGTCCCTCTCTACATGCATACAACGATCTCTGCTGTCTTGACTCCCAAGAGCATGTCCACGTAGGAACACGTAGGTTTCCATGTAGGGAAACCGATCTTAAACTATATCTAAACCCAAAATTTCAATATTTCAAATTACTAGTCCTTGGTGCAGCGGATGAATCTTTTTTTTTTTTTTTTTTTTTTTTCAAGCTTCTTTTGCTTTATTCTCACTAATCCTCCAAATAACACCCTTCAAGTCCCTGTGCGGCTACATCACTCCCCCCTGTATCTATGGAGGCAGCCATGGATGTCACCCTAGACTGCTCTAATGATATAGACTACAAACATGTCCGTATCTATTCATCTCAATGACAGAAGATAGCTAGGAAAAAAGACATTCTTTGATGCAGCTGACAGGAGGTGACAATGACACAGGTATTTGCTAAAACTGATCCTAGCTTGAAAAATAATTAAACAAAATGCAGCCACTATACCCAAGGACTGGTAAGCTGCAACATACTGGATTTCTTTTTCTTGGGTTTAGTTATCCTTTATGAGTTAAGGTTTTAGGGGAATGCCTAGATCAGCCTCTCTCAAATAGGGTGCCCAGGCACCCTGGGGTATCTTGAGGTTTCTTTAAGGGTGCCTTGACAAAATGTCTAAAAATTGCCCAAAACTTGTATATAAGCCAGTGGGTGGAACAAGTCTGCCTTTTACTTACAGAAAGCCACAGGTTTTCATTGTGCACCATTATGACCTTCTAGCCGTGGGCATCCTGACAACCAATGGCATCAGTTGAGGATGTCAGCTACCTGCACAGCATCCTAGTTCAGTGGTGGGCAACCTTTTTTTTTCAACTGAGCCAAATCTCGCCAAAACCACGATTGAAATTTATTTTGAGAGCCACATTTTTAAAACTGAAAATACATCTCCCATATAGTAATTCATCCCCCATAGTAATTCATCCTCCATAGTAATTCATCCCCCATATAGTAATTCAGCCCCCATAGTAATTCATCCCATATAGTAATTCATCCCCCACATAGTAATTCATCCCCCATATAGTAATTCATCCCCCATATAGTAATTCATCCCCCATAGTAATTCATCCCCCATATAGTAATTCATCCCCCATATAGTAATTCATCCCCCATAGTAATTCATCCCCCCTATAGTAATTCATCCCCCATAGAGTAATTCATCCCCCATAGAGTAATTCATCCCCCATATAGTAATTCATCCCCCATATAGTAATTCATCCCCCATATAGTAATTCATCCCCCATATAGTAATTCATCCCCCATATAGTAATTCATCCCCCATAGTAATTCATCCCCCATATAGTAATTCATCCCCCATATAGTAATTCATCCCCCATATAGTAATTCATCCCCCATAGTAATTCATCCCCCATAGTAATTCATCCCCCATATAGTAATTCATCCCCCATAGTAATTCATCCCCATACAGTAATTCATCCCCATACAGTAATTCATCCCCCATATAGTAATTCATCCCCCATATAGTAATTCATCCCCCATATAGTAATTCATCCCCCATATAGTAATTCATCCCCCATATAGTAATTCATCCCCCATATAGTAATTCATCCCCCATAGTAATTCATCCCCCATAGTAATTCATCCCCCATAGTAATTCATCCCCCATATAGTAATTCATCCCCCATAGTAATTCATCCCCATACAGTAATTCATCCCCCATAGTAATTCATCCCCATACAGTAATTCATCCCCCATAGTAATTCATCCCCCATATAGTAATTCATCCCCATAGTGTAATTCATCCCCCATAGTAATTCATCCCCCATATAGTAATTCATCCCCCATATAGTAATTCATCCCCCATAGTAATTCATTCCCCATAGTAATTCATCCCCCATAGTAATTCATCCCCCATAGTAATTCATCCCCCATAGTAATTCATCCCCCCTATAGTAATTCATCCCCCCTATAGTAATTCATCCCCCCTATAGTAATTCATCCCCCCTATAGTAATTCATCCCCCCTATAGTAATTCATCCCCATAGTAATTCATCCCCCATATAGTAATTCATCCCCCATATAGTAATTCATCCCCCATATAGTAATTCATCCCCCATATAGTAATTCATCCCCCATAGTAATTCATCCCCCATATAGTAATTCATCCCCCATATAGTAATTCATCCCCTATAGTAATTCATCCCCCATATAGTAATTCATCCCCCATAGTAATTCATCCCCCATAGTAATTCATCCCCCATATAGTAATTCATCCCCCATATAGTAAGTCCCCCATATAGTAAGTCCCCCATATAGTAAGTCCCCCCTGTGTCAATTCACTTACCTTTGCTCCGCGCGTTCCTCTCGCCGTTCTGGTCTTCAGGGCGGACTGTGAGAGGAGAGGAGTTCGTCACGCTGCCCCGCCTACATCCTGGCTGCCCCCGCCTACATCCTGACAGCTGCAGAGTCCTGACTTTTGGGGCGGCCGCCCGAGAGGAGGGAAGGGAGCGGGCGGCCGCCCGAGAGGAGGGAGGGGAGCGGGCGGCCGCCCGAGAGGAGGGAGGGGAGCGGGCGGCGCCGCCCGAGAGGAGGGAGGGGAGCGGGCGGCCGCCCGAGAGGAGGGAGGGGAGCGGGCGGCCGCCCGAGAGGAGGGAGGGGAGCGGGCGGCAGCCCGAGAGGAGGGAGGGGAGGGGGCGGCAGCCCGAGAGGAGGGAGGGGAGGGGGCGGCCGCCCGAGAGGAGGGAGGGGAGCGGGCGCCCGGCACACAGAAGAGCCGCATTTAAGTTTGTAAAGAGCCGCATGTGGCTCGCGAGCCGCGGCTTGCCGACCACTGTCCTAGTTTGACCCTCCACCGCCCCTCTCTATTAGTGCTGGGGTCACATCAGCTCAGCGATGGAGAAAAACTGAGGAAACAAGAGAGACATTGGACTACTACTCAGTACCAGTGTGTAAAGTTATATTTGCATTGGAAGAATAAATCTCCTCTAATGTTGGGTGTCCTACATGTGTGGATGTTGCTGCATTATATAAAACTGATAGAATAGTTTTTCACATTTTTTAATGGGGTGCCTCGGGACTGGCCATCATTTTAAAGGGCGCCTCCGGACTGGCCATTTTAAAGGGCGCCTCCGGACTGGCCATTTTAAAGGGCGCCTCCGGACTGGCCATTTTAAAGGGCGCCTCCGGACTGGCCATTTTAAAGGGCGAATCCGGACTGGCCATTTTAAAGGGCGAATCCGGACTGGCCATTTTAAAGGGCGAATCCGGACTGGCCATTTTAAAGGGCGAATCCGGACTGGCCATTTTAAAGGGCGAATCCGGACTGGCCATTTTAAAGGGCGAATCCGGACTGGCCATTTTAAAGGGCGAATCCGGACTGGCCATTTTAAAGGGCGAATCCGGACTGGCCATTTTAAAGGGCGAATCCGGACTGGCCATTTTAAAGGGCGAATCCGGACTGGCCATTTTAAAGGGCGAATCCGGACTGGCCATTTTAAAGGGCGAATCCGGACTGGCCATTTTAAAGGGCGAATCCGGACTGGCCATTTTAAAGGGCGAATCCGGACTGGCCATTTTAAAGGGCGAATCCGGACTGGCCATTTTAAAGGGCGCCTCCGGACTGGCCATTTTAAAGGGCGCCTCCGGACTGGCCATTTTAAAGGGCGCCTCCGGACTGGCCATTTTAAGAAAAGGGCGCCTCCGGACTGTCCATTTTAAAGGGCGCCTCCGGACTGTCCATCA